GCTCCACAGAAGCAGAAGCTTTCCAGTGCCTGTGGGCTGCTGTGTCTTGCAGTGGCTGAGGGACAGATGGGGCAGGGTGCAGGCCCGGCCCCGCAGCTGGGCCCAAGGGGAGTAAACTCCCAGCTAGAGAGGTGCAGGAGGCCTGTGCAGCTCGTAGACTTTGGCCAGCAATCTTGTCTATCCTGCTTTCGGGAAGAGTGCTCAGTGACTGGAGTGAATCCAGAGTTAGGCATGTTATCCAGGCCCGAGAAACCAGCTGGGCTGCCTGAGGAGGGCTTTTGGCAGCCACCAAAGCTCTTCCTCTCCCTACCCTCCCAGCATCCTCCACACACTCTTGGGATTACCCACTCAGTTACGCATAGGAGACTGAATTTACCTGTGGGTTTGGATTAGATTTGCTGGCAAGTGACAGAAAATTCAGAATAAGTGTTTTAAAAAGTATTGCTAGGTGTAGTGGCACACTCTTGTATTCTTAGTACTTTGGGAGGCTGAGGCAGGAAGGAGAATTGTAAGTTTGAGCCTAGCCTGGACAGCTGAACAGTTTGTTGAGACCCTGTCTCAAAATAAAAGTTAAAAAAATGGCTAGATATGTAGCTCAGTGCAAAGGTCCTGAGCTTAATCTCTAGTACAGAAAAATAAGTAAAATAAAAAGAGAAGTGTGTTCCCCCATGATGTACAAGTCTGAGTGTGTGTGGTCCACTTGTTCCTCTGCTGTGTATGACTTCTGTTCCCAAGTTCACTTCATGGTTCAGGATGGTAGCTGCAGCCACAGCCACAGCCATCTTACCTGCATTCAAGCTAGGAGGAAAGATAACAGGGAAGGAAAGGGCAGGACTTCCTCTTGACACCTCCGTGAATATGCACATACCACTTGGCAGTACTCTAAGCAGATGGCTACCCCTAGCTGTGAGAGATGCTGCAAAAGGTGATTTTTACTTTGTATTGGCTATGAGCCTGGCTGACATTGAAGAGATCTCAGAAAGAGAAGAACTACAGGAGGGAAGTGACCAGAAGTACCTGCCCATTCAGTCAGCAGCCAAGGGCTTTAGCAGAACATTTCGAGATGGAGAGCATTCAAAATCAAACAAGGCGCTATCTCCTTGATCTGCATCGCACAGGCAAAACAGAAAAGGTCCAGCAATACTAAGTTCTAGGGAAGTTGTAGAAAAATGACACCTCTTATAACTGCCATGCAGAGTATATTGCTATAAGCCTTTAGGAGACCAATCTGCTCAGAGAAACTGCTCAGAACATAAGTCCCAAGAAATTTGAAGATGTCTGTACTAATTTAGAGCTCTGTTTCTAGAGAAAGTCTCACACATGCACAGGAGGAGACAGGTATAAGAACTGACTACGGCTCCAGGCTAGCAGGGTTACCTAGCATGTGGGAGACCCTGGGATTAATCCCCAGCACCACACACACACACACACAGACACACACACACACACACACACACACACACACGAAATAAAATAAAACAAAGAATTGACTGTAGCATTGTGTATGATATCTTAAAACAGAAATAAAACATTCATGGATAAATTGTGGCATTTTCATAATGCAATTAATTGATGTACAGCAACAAAAATAAATGAACAACAGCTACATGAATCAACATGGATCTACATCAAAACATAATCTAAATTGGGGAAACTCCGTTGTATTGTGTTTTAGTCAGTGTAGAGTTTTTGGTTATATTTTGGGTACGGCAGCACAGGTACAAGTGGTAACCATTCTATTATTCAAGCCGCTGGGTGCCCAGTTACTAGTTGAGGTTAAAACCATCTAAGTTGCTTTAGCAAATAACTTCTACCTTAAAAAAAAATCAAACAAATAATATGTATTATTTTAAACACTTAAGAACACAGAATAAACACCAAAGTTCTTATACCGTTCCCACCCCAACTTTCATAGACCTTTATTATGCATGTATATGTACACTATACATGTTTTAAGACAATTTTGGCCATTAATAAATATGCGGGTAGGTTTTGAAAAACTCATGTCACGATTTAGCATCTTTTATTTTATTTTATTAGTTTATTGGTTTTTTTGTTTTGTTTTGTTTTGTTTTTTTTTTTGCCACAGAGTCTCACTATGCAGTTCAGGCTGTCCTTGAACTCATCACATCCTTGAACTCACTATGTAGCCCAGTCTGGCTGCCAGCTGGCAGCGATCCTCCTGCCTCAGCCACCTGAGTGTTGGGATTACATGCACGCATGATCACGTCCAGCTAGCATCTCCCTTTAACAGGTGCTGCCTGGTGGGAACCCCAGGGTCGCTTCACTTGCCCTTGTGACGGGTGTGTCGACATAGCTATCCAGACACGTGGCAGTCCGCATGAGGGCAATGTGCCTGGAGCAGAGACCCTGGGGAAGGTGCTGGTGCGTTGGTAGCTGACAGATGCTGCCCACCTCCTGAGATGCCTCGACAGGGCAGCCTGCAGTCGAGTGCTAGAGTTAACTGCTTCCTGCCGGCTCTCCACGGCTCCTGGGCCAGTCAAGAGCAACATGTCTGTGTCCATGTCTGCAGAAAGAGCAGGATCAGGTGGGCAGGAGACTGGTCTTGGGTCCAGAAACTTCCTTTCTCAGTCAGAAAGGAGCACAGCTTGGGTTCAGAGGGTGCGGTGAAGATATAGAATAATGCATGGTAAGGACAGAAATCAGAAAGGAGGATCTGATGAGTGTGCCCAAGGAGGCAGAGAGGGCTCCCCACTGAGCCCCGCCAACCCCTTTCTGCTGGGCCTTGTGAATGGCATAGGTAGGGCAGCAGGCAGAGGCTGCCAGCACAGACAGGGAGGGCCATGGGGGGCCGTGGACTGGAGGCTGTGCAGAGGCTCAGCTCCCACGCTGCTGGGCCAGAAGTACCTGAGGAAGATGCGCTCTTGCAGAATATGGGCAGGGAGCAAACAAGATGGGCGGGGGCAGCTGAACTCCAATTCCTCTTCTCAGTGCAGGGGCCCTTTGCTCGGCCCCCCTGTGGGCCCAAAAGCAGACCCGCTGACCTGGGGGGCATTTGTTCATTTTGAAAGTAATATCAAACTGGTGATGTTCAAAATATGAAACACACCTGATTAAGTCCTCCGTGACCTCATTTCTTTTTACTTTGAGAAGTAGAGACAGGTGAGACACCATGACCCACTGTCCCTCCATGCTGGGGTGAGAGAACTGAGGAGCTGACTGCAGATGCTTCAGGCAGCTGGGGCCACCCTCCGGGTAACACCAGGGACCACTTCCAAAGGGCCTTCTGAGCCCACCCGGACTCCTGGACACCCACAGAGGCCCTCCCATGCTGATGCATCACCAAAGCTCCCACGGACCCTTGTCAGCCCCCAAGTATGGGGAGGAGGATCTCTCACCCTCTGAAACAGAACTGGGAAAACTAAGGCCTCAGAGTTTGGAAGCAGGGGCAGAATCAGGGCAGAGCGCTCTAAGGTGGTCCATCACTGCAAATGCCCTGAGGTGTCAGGGCTGAAGTGATCCAAAAGGTTGTCTCACCTGTAAAGCCTGGCCCATGAGCGGAGAAGCCAGCAGCACAGTTTTCTTCCTGCCTGACTCATGACCAGGAAAGTTTAGCTCTTTTAAAGAAAAACGTTGGAGATATCCCAAGAGGTCAGGGAGACTTAGGAGACCTTCTTGGTTCTGAATTTGGCGTCTTCAGTCGCCAGGTCTAGGTACGAAGGTCACTTGGCACGGTCTCCTGCCTGCGGTTGTTGGAAGGCCTAGCCGGTTCTTCATCCCTGCTCTCATGGCGTTTGACCCCACATCCACCGGCCTTCTGCAGCCTTCCTGAATGGACTGCAAACCCCGAGGCTCAGGGCCTCGAAGAAGGGGCTCAGGGTTCCATGGTGCTTCCAAATGGGCGAGCTGAGGTCACTTGGGAACACGGCCGGGATTTATGTTTCCTTTTAGCTCGGAGTATGAAAAGAGAGAGTATTGTCCTTTTTTCTGAAAACAGCTCTTCCTGAGGCCACCTGAGGTTTAAAGCAAGATCCGGAGGAGCTTGGGGATGTGTGCTGTCGAGGGGAGACAACGTGTGTGTGGTTGTCCATGGGTTGAAGGCCTGACCACCTCGGGGCTCCCGGGTGACCCCACCAAGTGTTCCCTTCGAGAACTTAAGAGTCCTGCGCACCTGGGGGCGCCTTGTTCCACGCGCAGAGGGCGCTGCAGGCTGGCTCACACGGAGGTCCCCGAGTGCCTCTGCTTCTCCCGGGGCCGTGTCTCCACACCTAGGCGGGCGGGAAAGGGGTGCGCCGGCCGCCTTGGCCCAGAGGTACCCCGCGAGAACTCGGGGAGCCGCAGAGGG